TGACTGTCTACCATATATATTCAAGCAGATAATGCTATCTAAGAGATTATAGTAATTAGGTCCAGAATTAGATCAATAAAAATCAATCATTGATCTTCTACATGGCATGATTAAACAGACAAAAGAGCAACACAGTTTGGTGTTGAACGGCTATCGTATATATTATTGTATAAAATTTTAACAAGATTGCTGTACCATAGTATTTCTGAGCTAAAAACAAATGGTTTAAGTGGTTTCTTAACTGGCTTGGCCATAGCTGTTGAGTTTGTCAACACACATTTTCTTCTCTAAATTCCTTTGTCTCAGGTCCTAAACAGGGATTAAGAAGAAGCATAACCTATCAGTGAAGGAACAAAAAATCACCAAATAGTAATATTTGTTGATAAGAAGCAGCAGCAACATTCATATAATTTCATTACTTCTGTTATATTTTTCATCTTATACCACCAGGTAGTTTGTATTGGGTTTGCATGACAAGGTTTTGGTAGCAATGGGGCTACAGAGGTGGATTCTGTGAGAAGCTGCCAGAAGCTTCCTCCATGTCCAACAGAGCCAATGCCGTCCAGCTCCAAGACAGACCCAGTGCTGGCCAACGCCAAGCCCACCAGTGACCGTGTTAGTGTCTATGAGGTAACATATTCAAGAAGGGGAAAAGTTACTCAGCAGGAGCAACAGTAGCCAGAGAGGAGTAAGAATATTGTGAGAGCAACTGCTTTGCAGACACCATGGAAGGGACCCATGCTGGAGCAATTTATTCCTGAAGGATGCACCCATGTAAGGGACCCACACTGGAGCAGTCTGTTCCGGAAGGATGCACTCATGGAAGGGACCCATGCTGGAGCAATCTGTTCCTGAAGGACTGCACCCATGGAAGGGACCCACGCTGGTGCAGTTCATGAAGAACTGCAACACATGGAAGGGACTCATTTTGGAGAATTTGGTGGATGACTGTCTCCTGTGGGAGGGACCCCACACTGGAGCAGGGGAAGAGTGTGGGGTGTCCTCCCCTGAGGATGAAGGAGTGGCAGAGATATGTGATGAACTGATCACAACCCCCACAACTGTGGGAGAGGAGGTAAAGTCATGAGTGAAGAAGGGAAGGGTGGAGGAAGGCATTCTAAGTTATGGTTTTATTTCTCATTATGCTCCTCTGATTTGATTAGTAATAAACTAATTTCCACAAGCCAAGTCTGTTTTGCCCATGACAGCAATTGGTGAGTAGTATGTCCCTGTCTTCACTCAACCCACAGGCCTTTTGCAACATTTTTTTTTCCCCTGTCCTGTTGAGGAGGGGAGTGACAAAGCAGCTCTGGTGGGCATTCCCACCAAAACAAGGTGGTTTTGGTTTTTTGGGGGTTGGGGTTTGGGGGGGGGGGGGGGTGTGTTTGGTTTGGTTTGGTTTGTTTTTTTGTTTTGTTTTTTTTTGAGCTGGAATCCTCAATTGAATTCAGCAATGTCATTCTATGCTGACATCAGAATTTTCAAACATGTTTCAGAAGCATTAGAATGCTTTGATAATTGTAAGCTTCTTTGATACAATCATTTACAAAGCTTTCTCCTCAGTTTTCATCCATAATTTACTCCGACACCAGAAGCGCAGCCCCTAACCTAATTTAGGCATTACAGCTCACACGTGCAACTGTGTACTGGGTGCTAGTCCTAGTTTTTTCCCAGCACAAACTCACAAACTGCACATAAACCTTTTAAATCCTGGCAGGCAAAACATCAAAATGAAGAAAGATCAAAGACAGACAACGTATTTCACAGTATCACACAGTATCACAGTATGTTAGAGATTGGAAGGGACCTCGAAAGATCATCTAGTCCAATCCCCCTGCCGGAGCAGGAACACCTAGATAATGTTACACAGGAATGCGTCCAGGCGGGTTTTGAATGTCTCCAGGGAAGGAGACTCCACAACCTCCCTGGGCAGCCTGTTCCAGTGTTCCGTCACCCTCACTGAGAAGAAGTTTCTTCTCAAGTTTAAGTGGAACCTCTTGTGTTCCAGTTTGTACCCATTACCCCTTGTCCTATCATTGTTTGCCACTGAGTAGAGCCCGGCTCCGTCCTCGTGACACTCCCCCTTTATATATTTATAGACACTGATAAGGTCACCCCTCAGTCTCCTCTTCTCCAAACTATAGAGACCCAGCTCCCTCAGTCTTTTCTCATAAGGGAGATGTTCCACTCCCTTAATCATCTTTGTTGCCCTGCGCTGGACTCTCTCCAGCAGCTCCCTGTCCTTCTTGAACTGAGGGGCCCAGAACTGGACACAATACTCCAGATGGGGTCTCACCAGGGCAGAGTAGAGGGGAAGGAGGACCTCTCTCGACCTACTAACCACCGCCCTTCTAATACACCCCAGGATGCCATTGGCCTTCTTAGCCACAAGGGCACAGTGTTGGCTCATGGTCATCCTGTTGTCCACTAGTACCCCCAGGTCCCTCTCCCCTACACTGCTCTCTAACAGGTCATTCCCCAACCTATACTGGAACCTGGGGTTGTTCCTGCCCAGATGCAGGACTCTACACTTTCCCTTGTTATATTTCATCAAGTTACTCCCTGCCCAACTCTCCAGCCTATCCAGGTCTCGCTGGATGGCAGCACAGCCTTCTGGCGTATCAGCCACTCCTCCCAGCTTAGTGTCATCAGCAAACTTGCTGATAGTACACTCAATTCCCTCATCTAAATCATTGATGAATATATTAAATAATACCGGTCCCAGTACTGACCCTTGAGGCACTCCACTAGTTACAGGCCTCCAACTAGACTCAGCCCCATAGACTACAACTCTCTGGCTTCTCTCCTTCAGCCAGTTCGCAGTCCACCTCACTACCTGATCATCCAGTCCACACTTCCTCATTTTAGCCGCGAGGATGCTGTGGGAGACTGTGTCAAATGCTTTGCTGAGGTCAAGGTAGACCACATCCACCGCTCTGCCATCATCCATCCACTGTGTTATTTCCTCATAAAAGGCTAAGAGATTGGTCAAACATGATTTCCCCCTGGTGAAGCCATGTTGACTGCCCCTCATAACCTTCTTATCCTTGATATGCCTTAAGATGGTACCAAGGATAAGGTGTTCCATCACTTTCCCAGGGATGGAGGTGAGGCTGACCGGTCTGTAGTTACCCGGGTCCTCCTTCTTGCCCTTTTTGAAGACTGGAGTGACATTTGCTTTCCTCCAGTCCTCAGGCACCTCTCCCGTTTCCCAAGACTTGGTAAAGATGATGGAGAGTGGTCTAGCAATGACTTCCGCCAGTTCCCTCAGCACCCGCGGGTGCATCCCATCTGGACCCATGGATTTATGGATGTCCAGATTGCTCAACTGGTCTCTAACCCATTCCTCATCGACTAAGGCAAACCGCTCCGTCGACCTGACTTCATCTAAGGTCTCAGGGGTACAGGGCTCTTCAGGACTGCCCGCAGCAGAGTAGACAGAGACAAAGAAGGCATTCAGTAACTCTGCCATCTCTTTATCTTCTGTCACCAGGGCACCCATCCCGTTCATCAGTGGGCCTACATTGCCTCTGGTGTTAGTTTTGTCTGCCATGTATTTAAAAAAGCTCTTTTTGCTGTCCTTGACCCTTCTTGCCAGGTTTAATTCTAAGGATGCCTTAGTCCTCCTAGCTGCCTTCCTACATCCTCTAGCAGCAGCCTTATATTCCTCCCAAGTGGCCAGCCCCTCCTTCCATGACCTGTAAACTCTCCTCTTCCACTTGAGCATACCCAGCAATTCCCTGTTTAGCCACGCAGGTCTCTTGGCCCTCTTCCTTGACTTCCTACGTGTCGGGATGCTCCGATCTTGAGCACGGAAAAAGCAGTCCTTGAATGTCAACCAACTATCTTGGGCCCCTTTACCTTCAAGCAGCCTTGCCCATGGGATTTCCCCTAGCAATTGCTTGAAAAGGCCAAAGTTTGCCCTGCTAAAGTCCAGGGTTGCAATTCTACTTGCTATTCTACTAGTCCTGCCACACAAGATCCTGAACTCCACCATCTCGTGGTCGCTGCAACCAAGGCAGCCCTCAACCCTTACTGCTTCAACCAGATCCTCCTTGTTAGTGAGGATGAGATCCAGCAGCGCTCCTCTCCTGGTCGGCTCATCCACCATTTGCAGGAGGAAGTTATCATCCATACACTGGAGGAACCTCCTGGACTGTGGCTGGGTTGCCGAGTGGTCCTTCCAGGAAACATCAGGGAAGTTAAAATCCCCCACAGCGACCACGGCCTGTGACTGTGAGGCCGCTCTCAGCTGCCTGTAGAAGGCCTCGTCATTTCCTACTATTTTTTTCTGAAAAAGACATCTACATTTTCGACATCTGGGAGTGAATCATCCATCTCTTCTTTCACACTGATGTTTATACCAGAGTGCTTTCAGTAAGCTCATTTATATAAACCCAGCCCAAGAACTATCAGCAGTGTAAAAAGGAGAGAGAGCTCATATCCATCAGTACTTGAAGCTTTTTTTTTTTTTTTTTTTCCGTTAGCTAAATTACAAAACCTATTCTGACAGAACTTTTCTCTAATTTCTGTTCATATCCTTCGTGAAAGGATGTTCATATCCTTCTTTTCAGGAAAGAAAAGGCCAATAATCTAAAATGGATGCAAGTTTAACCAAAATCCGAAAGAGTTCCCATATCTGTAATCTATCCTGCTCACTGAAATCCCACCTCATCCTCCCTTCTCAGGTTTCATCTCCCCTTTTCTGTGAACCCCTGTGACTGGGAGTACAGCACAGAGTATAAATTATGGAGGAGTGAGCAGACAATTGTCCTCAAACATTTTGGTTAGTTAGGTTTTTAAGTGTAATATTGGTAAGGAAGGATCACCTGAAACCTGCCATGGTTATAATCCTTAGGGCCATAGGATTTTGTTGCCACTATCTACTGCTGGTTAAACCAAAATTTAAACATTTTAACCACAGTGTCCTTTCTGGGGCTAAGAATTTCATGATCAGTTCAAAAGTGCGTAAGGAACACCTGGATTCTCTTCAGGCTTACCTAGTAACTGTTTGGAGTCAGCTGGACTTAGATGCTGGACAGGACAGTTCATGTGACTGAAGTAACTGAATGCTAGCAAGGGAAAGCAAACTGCTGCTGGCTAAACTGGGGGTGGTTTTGGCAAGTTACGCACAGTGCTCACTAGAACAGCAGCTTGGCACAGGTAACACAGCACCCTACAGTGACCTGAAAAAGAGAAGGATAAGTACAGGAGAACCTTCTTCATTTCTATTCCTTTTGCTACCCCTTTTTCCTTGTGAGAAGATGCTGGTTTTACTGATAAGATTCCCTGCACTCCCACTCCCCAAACCAGGGAATCGATACCTGCAGGAAGCCACTGCACTCACCCTAGAGAAGCATCACATGCTCAAGTGACACCAGGAGTGCTCAGTAACCATAAGCAATCACCAGCACACATATCTGCCTGTCTTCCAGCATGGGGAGGACACCCTGTTTTGACCATCTTTTTAAGGCAGTTTTTATTCAACAGCACAAAACTAAAGCAAAACAACAAAGTGTTTCTCCAGTCTTGCTGCAACTACTTCCTATACCCTTTCTTCTCTATCCATGTTTTTGAGTTGCTTCAGCAAGCCTCCCTTTCCTTTTGCTTTCAGACCTTCAAAGACAATATTTAATCACTTTTTAGCTGGGCTTATTATTCTGCTTGGTTCTTAGAGGTAAGAGCACAGTAGTACAACAAATTAGTATAAAACTAAGATGTCCTTCAGAAAAGGTTACGTAGAATACCGTCTTGTATGTTTCCTCTTGAGTACAATTCATACGCTGCATAGAGCAGGTGGAATCAGGGAAGAAACTTGACTCCTTCCTAAGATCATCTGATCAAAACACAGAGCAGGTTTGAACCTACAGTCAACACTGCAACTTAGTTAATTTTGTGATCTTGCTTTGTGCTCTTTTACCTCAGAGAAAACAAGGCATGTTGACCTTCAAGTAGCATCAAGGGAGTATCACTCCCATTCCCACAAAAACCCAAAGCAAATGGGATCCTCAATTAAGCTAGAAACAGATGTTAACTTCCAATCCAAAATTATTCTTCTATTTTTGTTACTTTGCTCTTAAGACTAAAATCATTTAAATTTATGCAGTTTACACCAAGACATGTTCTTTGACTCCAATTTTGACTGTGCTCAGCAGCAGAACGGGTGAGCACCATTTCTCACCAGGCATGCTCTTAGAACTCAGTTCCCCAGGGCTCACATTAGCTATTATGCCCACCACCACATTAGAGGGAAGTGTCAAGTTCCCACCTTGACCCTGAGGCTGGCCAGGAATGTAGTAGTGGAGATGACAGGACAACACAGTATGGATTTTCAAGTACATTTCTTGGGTACTCAAGATACGGATGGAATGCATGAAACTCCTGTAGCCTCCTTCACGGTTTCAGAAGTTCCTAGCGCTGCGACAGCAACAATTTACTTCCTTTCTTTTTTAGGATTTTGGAGGCTGCTGCTTAGCTGTAGTATATACACACAAAAAAGAGATGAAGAAGTAGTAACATCTTCTGGCAGGTTTCACCCCACACCATCTCCCAAACTGACAAACTGGCTGGCTTCCCAGCTTTCGCCGGAAGGGAACCAAACCCCCCAACACCATTCCCTGGTCACTTGTGCAACCTGGGCGAAAGCCCCTCTCGCCAGAAGGCACAGGCGGTTGGAACACCTGCTCCGCGCTTAAGCCCACCACCTGCCATTCCAAGGGCCGTACAGGCGGGACGGGAGCGCGAGGCGTGTGGGCTGTGTGTGCGGGCACTGTGGAGGGTGGTGCTGTACAGCGGGCGTGAGGGGAGTGCGTGCGATGGAGTCATGAGGGTCGCATGATGGTTATTAGGGGGGTGTTGGAGGGAACGGGTTCTGACGGGGGTGTGTGTGAGGGGGGGTTAGGGGACGCGCAGGGGCAGGCGTGTGTGAGGAGCGGCAGGAGCCGCGGGGGGTCGCGGAGCCGCACAATTACCCTGCGGCCTCGCGCATCACCCTCTCCGCGCGCACGCCGCCACCCGTACTCATCGAGCACCGCCCGCCGGCACCTGCCACGCGCATGCGCAGCCCCTCGCGGCACCTGCCGGGCGAGCAGCCTCCCGGTGCGCGGGTCGCGGCGGTTAACGGCTGCGCTGCGGACCCCGCCCCCCGGCAGCGCGCCCCGCCCCAACCCCACCACGGCCCCGCCTCAGCCCCGCCCGGCCCAGCGGAGTCCGGCGGCCGCCAGCGAGCCATGGCGAGCGCGCAGCTGTCTGTTGCGGAGCCGGAGTCGGGAGGGGAGCGTGGTGGCAGCGGGCGGGAGCGGGCGGAGGCCGTCGAGGAGCGAGGTGCGGCAGCCCAGGATACGGAGCCGGCCGAGCTGTCAGGCGGGGCCGCGGCTCTGCTGGGGGACACGGGTCTGGCTGTGGGCTGCTGCATCGCGGCGGCGCTGAGCTGGGAGCGGCCCCTCCACAGCCTGGGCTTCTTCGTCTGCGCTAACCTGCTTTTCTGGTGAGCGATACCGGACGCGATGGGGAGCGGGGTTGGAAACCCTCCTCCCGGGAGAGGGACGCCCCAGCCCGACCTACCTCCGCCGCCCCGCCCGCTGACGGGCGCCTCCCCACCTCTTCCCCCTCCTCCGCGCTGCGCTTGTCCTCCGGGAGGGTTATTTTCCCCCACGGCTTCTCCTGTCCCGGTCCTTTGAGGAGAGCTGACCCACTGTCCCTGCGCTTCCACGGGGAAGGTCTGGCGTTCCTCTTCACCTGCGCCATCTCTCCTGCGCCCGGCAGCCGCGCTGGGGCACGATGTAGCCCTTGGGTTGTGTGCATCTGCGTTACCGGGTTCTTGTGTGCCTCCTTTCTGCTCGCCCCTTTTTCTCCCGTTTCTTACAGTAGCAAGGAGCCCCAGAGGAAGGCTGACCTGGGCGGCTGCGTCACGCCCTACTGAGAAGTTGCTTTTCTTGTAGCTGAGATGAGCGATGGGCCTGCTTTTCTGTGCGGAGTTTTGAAACCTGAAATTAGGCCTTGAGCCGTAGTCAGCGCTGAGTTGCTGCCGTGGTCCATTACCTCAGAGTTTATTAAGGGTGTGCATGCTTTTCCACGTTGGTGGCCTAGTTAGTGGGGACAGTGGGAATGCTGCTGCAGTGCACCAGTTCTCTTTTTCGACTAAGCTTTTTCTAGTCAGATATAGTTTTATTGAATAAACCCCAGAAATTAGCCTAGGGAAGTGTTCATTGCACATGTAGCAGCTCTTGTTTCTTTCTGTAAGGAAAAAAAGAATGTCTTTCTGTGTGAAACTTCTGCAGGACTTTCCCCTGATCTTACGTGTTGGTGATGCCTGTGATTTTTGTTTTCTGATATAAAATGTTGCTGTATGCCTGCTTGCAAAGAGGCGGATTAATTGCAAGCTCCAGTTAGTTCTCTGTAACTCTTAACAGTGTGATGTTTAAACATGAGATCCAGGTCATGGAAAGAGAACTTTCTGAAGGTTTGCATTGCACAAGAAAATATCTCTATGCAAATATTTTCAGAATCATTTTATCCTCTTTAATCCCAGAAGCAGTGTGTGTGATGTCTAATTTAGGTTGACTTTCATTATCCACCTTGCTCTTAGGTATCCATAGTAAATCCTTTCATGGAGGAAGTTACATGGTTTTGCTCTCATTTTCTGCATGCTTTAGAGATCATCTGTTCTTTCAGCAGTTTGGAGGAGTCATAATGCTTTATGTTTCTTTGGCTCATGGCTCAGATAAAATTTTCAGGGATAGTGTGATGCAGAAATGTATTCTGTTAAACAAAGAGTATTAGCTGATTATATAGATATATATGTATAGCTGCTGGGAAAGCAGGAAGTTTGCAGTACTGGTGGCAGGGAGTTTTGACAGTTAAAGGCTAACCAGGACATATGTAGAAGTAGGTATGGTGGCCAGCTTTGTGACTGAAGAGCAAGGGGAAGGATCGTGTTGGCAAACCTATGAAATCTGATACTTTGAAAATGAAACAGTTGTTTTAAGTCTAGTTTCGTGTTTCCTGTTTGGTGCTGGCATCATCAGCATTTGCCGCACAGTGTGTTTGCTGCTGCTTCTTTCTCATTTGAGATCCAGCTGGTCAGCCTGGTTTGTGATGACTCAGTCGCTGCTGCTTCAGGACTGTGAACTGCTGCCTGTGAAGTCTCTCAAACGTGGCTTTGTGCTGGCCAGAGCCTAGGCTGAAGAAACATTACCCAGTTACTGGTTCATGTCCCTCATCTTTCTTTGTGGTGTGTCTACAAGTATCCCTGTCCCCATGCAGAGGTAGAGTCACTCCCCATGTGTAGGGCTTCTTATCTCTGTGTTTCTCAATGTTGAGGTCTGTACTGAATGAGGGGAGAAGTCTCTCCTTAGATCAGCAGTAGTGTTGGTAGATGGGGGGGTTGGGGGGGGGGGTGGGTGTAAAGTTTTAATTTTACAGTTTTCTAGATGTTGGAAAAATAGTGATAGTTCTTTCCTCCCATCTATTTAATTTTGGTGGGAGTGTGTTTTCCCTCACGGTTAGTTTAGTTCTTGTATGTATGCGGTTCAAAACACTAAAAACACTTCATGTGTAAACTCTTGCAGTAGGAGCTGCTGAGGGTCAACTGTTTCTGTAGTGTCACAAAATCCTCTGGGCTTTGTGATTTTTGTTGTTGTTGTTGTTGTTTGTTTGTGGTTGTTTTTTTTGTTTTTGTTTTGTTTTTGTTTGTTTTTTAATATTCAGTTGTAACCTCTTCTTAAAAATATTTAACCATGTTACTGTATATAAATGCATCTTCCACGTTTAGTACTGAAATAATATTCTTAGAGGTACAAGAAATTTACTAATTTAATTTAATTGTTTCCTTCTGTTTTTTAATATTCCTAACAAATCATCATGGACTATTTAACAAGACTTAAAGCAACTAGTTCCTGATCAGGACCTTTTTAGGCTAGGCAGTACTGCACCATTTTTCACTTCCCTTTGATTCCTAACATAAAGGCTGCACTGAAGTTCAGACCCTGCAAAATCTGACACCATTTGCTTTACTTGACTATTTTTATTGAATGTATCAGATATTAATTATCATACAATTTAGATTTTATGTATACTGGCATATTCAGTGAACTAACATTCCATAAAATTTTATGGAAACAAGGCTGGCAATTAAAGGGGGAAAAAAAAAAATCTGTTACTGGAGAAACATTTTTCACTTACACTTCTGTTATTTATTCACCATGAGCAGTTTTAACCCCCTCCACTCCAAATGACCCCAAATGAAAATCTTTAAAATTACCAAGGGTTAAATATGTATCATTTAGCACCTAAGCATTTGAAGTGTGATATGGGTACTAGTGTTCTGCTGTAGGTAGTTTACAAACTGAAGTCAAAATACCACAGGACAAAAAGACTCTCTTCCCCCCCCAACACCATTTTACATGTGTAATACTAAAAAAGTGAATAATTTCCCCAAGAGCAGAGAAACTCTGGACTAATCCTGGATTTTTAGCTAGTATTCCAGCCTAATTATTGCTTTGTGTTTGTGTATGGGGAAGAGGGAATAGTGGCAGCTTTTCATTTTATTCTCCCAATCTGTCGTCTTGAATATTTCTGTGAGGTCAAGAGGACAAGTTTATTTTTAGTAATTCCATGCTGTTATGTCTTTTGTAGTTTGCAGGTATTTGTTTCAAATACATGTTTTATATTTGCAGGTAGATGTTTCAAACATAATACATTAATGTGTCTTGCAAGGTCATCCGTAGATGCATCAGTTGCATCTATTCACCAGTTTCCAAATGACTGATTTCCATAGGGTTTCTTGGGAAGAGAGGGAGTGGAAAGGCTAAGATGTAATAGACCTTTTCTCTGTTTCTGTCTCCTTGTGGAACAAGTTTATTGCATTACCCTGTTTGCTGTTCTCATTGCTAGCCCAAGTCCGAATTTTTCTTTGAAGTTTTTTACATGCTTTTTGATATACAAATTTCTATGTTACTGCAGGTCTGTTGTTAGCAATGTGACAGTACTGGATGAAAAGATTAACTGATCAGCTCTGGAATACTAGTCTCGTTCCTTGATTTAAACGGTATGCTTAGACAGTATGTATGCTCTCCAAATATACCATTAAAAATAGTGTCTTTTGTCACTATCTATGCTCAGATTTGGTTTTTTTGTTTGGTCTCAGACCTAATGAATATTTTCATTGTATGAGAGAATAAATCAATCAAGAGCTTTTTAGTGACAGCTTGCAGAGTTTTGGCTGAGATTGGTTTACAGGAAAGAAAATTGACATTGTTTAAGAGCCAGACAGTGTTACATAAAAACCTGGACAGTTTACAGCATTTTCCAACCAGTAAGATGAAAACAGGATCAATCAGAAAATAAAACAAATGGGATAATTGAGGAACTGAGGCAAAGCGAGCATTACTGAACAATTTAGGACCAAATCCAGGTTGGCAACTCTGGAAAATAGAAATGCTGAA